TTGATAACACAACATTGCGTGGATAAAATAGTGCATAGGATCAATCGGAGAGGGGAGTCAAGTGTTTAGAAAGTTACTTCTCTATGGGATCTAAACGTGTCAAATATGGTACTGAAAATCTGTGAAAGCGCTATACAGCTATTTCTTTCTTGTCAACAGTGACCCGGTGTGAGCTCAGTAGCCATGGCGCGGCTTTGTAAGTGTCACTGTTAAGTCTAGGATGCCCGGGTTGTGATTACAAGTCAAATGAAGCCCATAAGAACCACTTAACTATTATCTCGTAGAGAAAAGCATCTTAATAATGACCCATTATTAAGGTGTCGGTGTTGTAAGGGCGAAAAATAACAAAACCGTCAGCTCAATACCATGCGTATGCTAGTGGAACCTTATCTTGTTCACCAGTCTAAGTCCCGGGGACAGGTTGCCGGTTCCCATGAATGAACAATGGGACCTCGTGACTTTTTTATTACGCATTTGTGTGATGAACAGCAGACGGGAAAAGCCCCATAGTCACGAAGACCTTCTGCTCCGTCATTGGAAACCGGCAACCTAAGCCCCGGGACTTGGAGTGGCGAACCACATAAGGCCCCGATAGGTGACTATGCTGTTTACCACTCTACTGTTCATTATACAATAGTGAGTGACAAAAAATGCTTCTGTCAAATGTGTAAGAACGCGACATTACACGTGGAGGCGGTACGCCGCAAAGAAGGGTCTTTTGAACATGATCTGGACAGTAGAGAATTCCATCGGAACGAAAAACAATTTACGAATGGCAGATTAGCTGAAGCGCACTAGCACACCTGATAAAAAGTATGATTTTAAACGATTAATCAATCTGAAATAAATGCTTGATTCAATCAACTATGAGGGCAATCACAAGATCCGAGGATCAGTAAAAAAAGAATCAAAGACAGAGGAGTATAACTAACTGCGTATTTTTCGAAATACAATTTTGCAAAATGGATTATCATTTACAGATTATTTGTAACCACTCGTGTGCGTGAACCATCCCGGTTCGGATAAAGACGAAAGAAACAAGCGAATGAAACTGGGTGTGCGTATACGAGTATGGGGATAACACCCACAAGATGGATCACGAGTAAACCACTCACATTAGAACAGAGCCAACCGGATAATACGTGGGTATACATATACGTGATAAAAGTATTTCACCCTCGGGGCACTTTGCCCATTTAACCTAGTCCAGTACCGACTATGGACATTGTCCGCTGTTCGTAAAACTTTATAAAAACTTCTTGACATACTGTATATGAGATTTCCGACAGCGTCATTGCTGACAATGTTTCACTCTCCGGTTAAGAATGCTTCTAATTAATGGTTTGTGCTGTAAATTCTTGCATCTTGGTACACCTTTCGGGTAAGAATGGCCCGTGTGTTTTCTACCGAGTTCAAGTAGGAGCTGAATGCATACCACAGTATTATTTTTGTCAGAAAGCAATTAACATTAGTTTGCCAGATATGCCTTTTAGAACGCCGATGGATAGAGACGCAGTTTAATGTGCTTCAATTCGGGTAGTGGTATTATGTGGACCCTGTATCAGTTAATCATTTTAGTAATTACAAGAGTAAGAAATACTCATTTCCTAAATTGGTGTTACAGGCAAGTTACACAGATGTACTGGCACGTGCGCGCTTGCATCCGCCGAGGAAACTAAATTCAAAATTCTTCATGAGTTCAATTTAGAAAGCAACAGAAACCTGTGCACGCACCAGCTTCTTACTGCTTTGATTTAATGTAGTATTGAGTTAGGTCCAATAAAATCTTTTATCATGAAACCGGTTCGTTGATTATGGGCAGTAATTCATAATCCGAGAACCGGATAAAACGATATGTGGGGGTTAGGCTGAATGAAGACAATGTGGAACCAACATACTTGATTTATTCACAGGAGTCGGAGCAGATCGTCTGGAATGTTCCTGCTCCGAAGGTGGCGAGAATGGGACCTCATCCGGTACACGTTGTTCATTTAAACTGACTGCAGGTTGTGCGACAGTACGAACCCGTTCAACCGAAGGTTGTGTAGGGCGAGCGGAGAGTGGTGCTGGTGGCTGAGGTTGGGACTGGGCGGTGGGAGGGCTGGGACGGCGCGCGTTGGTTGTAGGAGGAGCAACTGGAGAGGAGGTAGCATTGGTTGCCGCATTAAGACGCGTGGGACTGCGCGGAACAGTTCGGTGGGGTTTGAACACCCGGTCATATTCTTCAGGATCTGTGATATCGGCCACGGTGTTCATTTCATTCTGATCCTCGGCGGTAGGTTTATACGGCACCTGAGAATCGGGATCAGTGGGATCTTCCTAAAAATAAAAAGACAACACACAAAAGAGAGATAAAATCAAAGGGATTGAGCATATTTTACATTCATTTCGGTCAAATTTGAGTTTCGAAAAGAGAGGAGAAATCTCAGTTGGGTAAAGCTGAGTCAAATAAACGGGGCAAAAAAGAAAAATAATGGAACCAAGGTTTTAGTTTCAACAAACAGTGGCAGCCCAACAGTAAAGTCAGTCGAAAAACAGCAAACATTA